ATCTAGGATTTTATAGTAAACTATTTAGAAAACAGTGGTAGAATCAGCCACAATCAACATGAATTTACAAAAGCTATCTACAGATTTCCCGGAATTCTTCAAGGATGTCGCTAGTAGAGTTGATTTTGGGAGCCAATGGATATGGTTTAGTTGGACTTCCAAAAGGCTTTCAGCAAAGTCCTGCATATGAGATTAATGTGTAAAATTAAAGCAAATGGGATTGGGAGTAGTGTATTGAGATGGATAGAAAGTTGGTTAGCAGAAAGTAAACAAATAGGAATAAATGTGTTTTTTTCTGAATGGCAGGCAGTGACTATTGAGGGTATGCAGGGATCAGTACTAGGACCCCAGCAACACACAATATATGTTAATGATTTAGATGAGGGAACTCAATGTAATATCTCAAAATTTGTTAGATGACACAAAGCTGGATGGAATGGTGAGCTGTGAGGATGTTGCAGAGATGTTGTAGTATGATTTGGACAGGCTGAGTGGGCAAATGCATGGAAGATAGCATATAATGTGTATAAATGTGAGGTTATGCACTTTGGTAGCAAAAATAAGAAGGGAGATTATTATTTGAATGGCTGTAAATTGAAAGAGGGAAATGTTCAACAAAACCCGGGGTTCCTTATGTACCTGTCATTGAAAATAAGTGCGCAGGTGCAGCAGGCAACAAAGAAGGCAAAGTGTATTTTGGACTTCATAGTGAGATAAATTGGTTTTCATAATCAGTGGATTCAAGTACAGCAACAAGGATGTCTTGCTGCAATTATACAGGACATTGGTGAGGCTGCAATATTATGTGCAGTTTTGGTTTTCTTATGTGAAGATGGATGTTCTTGCTTTAGAGGGAATGAAGTGAAGGTTTACGGAATTGATTTTTGGGATGGCAGAACCGGTGTCTTGAGGAGAGATTGAGTTGATTAGGAGTGTATTCACTGGAGTTTATGAAGGAGGATCTCATCGAAACATATAAAATTCTAACAGGACTATACAGGTTAGATGTATGGGGAGGCGATGGCCTAGTGGTATTACGGCTTGACTATTAATCCAGAAACTCAGCTAATGTTGTGGGGACCCAGGTTCAAATCCCACTGGAATTTGAATTCAATTTTTAAAAATCTGGAACTAAGAATCTACTAATGATCATGAAATCATTGTCAATTCTCAGAAAAACCCATCTGGTTCACTAATGTCCTTCAGGGAAGGAAATCTGCGATCCTCTCCTGGTCTGGCCTCTATGTGACTCCAGATCCACAGCACTCTCAATTGCACCCCCAAAATGGCCTAGCAGTTGTACCAATCACTACAAGGCCTCAAAGAAACGAAACAGGGATCACCTGGTATTGACCTAGACACTGGAAAAGATAACGGCAGAAACAGCCTTGTCAACCCTGCAAAGTCCTACTTACTAACATCTGGAGGCTATTGCCAAAACTGGGAGAGCTGTCTCCCAAAGTAGTCAGGCAACAGCCTGACATTGTCTGTAAGGTATGATTCCATGAGTATGACTGTGTCCCAGACACCACCATCACCATCCCTGATGTGACTTGTCTCACCAGCAGGACAAACCCAGCAGAGGTGGAAGCACGATGGTATGTGGTTGGGAAGGAGTTGCCCTGGGAGTCCTCAACATTGACTGGACCTCATGAAGTCTTGTGGCTTCAAATTAAACAAGGGCAAAGAAGCCTTCTGATGATTATCATATGCCATCCTCCCTCAGCTGATGAATCGGTACTCCTTCATGTTGAACAACACTGAGAGGAAGCACTGAGGATGGCAAGGCTGCAGATGCATCTGTCCATGACAGTATTGGTAAGAGCGACCACTGCACAATCCTTGTGGAGACAAAATCCTGCCTTCACGTTAAGAATACCCTCCATTGTGTTGTGTGGTACTATCATTGTGCTAAATGGGACAGACTTTGAACAGATCTAGCAACTCAAGACTGGGCATCTGTGTGATACTGTGGGCCATCAACAGTAGCAGAATTGTACTCCAGCACCATCTGTGCCCCCACTCAACCATTACCATCAAGCTAGGGTATTAATCCTGGTTCAATGCAGAGTGCAGGAGGACATGCCAGGAGCAGCACCAGGCATATCTGAAAATGAGGTGTCAACCTGGTGAAGCCACCAAACAGGACTACTTGCATGCCAAGTAACAAGTTTAATGCATCATCTGCAATATTGCATCAATTCCAAACTGCACTGACGGGTTGCTTAGAACATATGCTGAAGCCTTGAAATTACTCAGAAATTACAATTCCACACTCTGTATAAACATATTTCCATAGGCATCAAATTTTAATTGAGGAACAGGCAATTCAATATGATAACAATTTGTTTCCATTGTACGCATTCACCTGTAGTCCTTGAAGATCTATTTGTATTACTTCCACTATTTATTTTATTATATACTGTTTATCATTGAATATCATTACACATTGTCTTTATTTTTCCTAATTTTGTTTTCACAGCTTTTGAGCAGGAAAGATAAAACAACATTTGAAAAATTAGAATATCTGGTATCTAAAGAGGACAATTACAAGAGGCTCAGGGATTATGTTAATAGTTTGAAGATGACTCCATGTATTCCGTATTTAGGTAAGGATTACAGTTTTGAATTCTTCAGAAGCAGTGGTTCATCCAACTACTTGTTAGATGCTTGAACAAGATGATGGGCTGCTAAAATAGAAAGTTACTGCTAATGATTGATTGATTGCTTACATTTTGAGAAATGTTGTGAAAATTCACATGGAGATTTTGCCAATGATAAATGCAGGTATGGTCATTGAGCAATTCATTACATGAGTGAATTGCTAATCATTGAGTTAAATGATGGTGCACAAGCAATCATATGACAAATTCTTACCTGTATCTATTTTCAACATTTACTAATATGATTTCTGAATATGTAAAAAATGAGAGAGGAACCCTCTAATCACTTGAGTTATGATACACAGTCTGCTGGTTATGCAAACCTCTACATCTTATTAAACAAATCTGTGATGTGATTGCCAGCATAACTCTGCTAAGAATTGATACATGGATTTATAAAAAATGCGTGGGGAGAACTGACATTTTAAAGTGGCATTTTAAATTTGAATTAGCCTCTCTAGGGACTAGCAAACTGAAATATCTGTTTCTCACTGTTTAATCAGCTGAAAGCCACTAAATAAATATTACACGCAATGATGCATAATATGTAGGGTGTCAATACGTCAGGACTGACCATGTTTCACGTGGAATATTAAAAGATATATTTGGTATTATTTTATGCAGTAGCTAGGAATTTGTATTAGGTATCATTTTTCAGAACCACGAAAAAATAAGTCATCTGTTTTGAGTGATAGAGGACTAACTTCCTAATTTTTTGGGAGAATTTGTATCTGACCCTTATTAATATATCTTCAGTTGCACACTGAAACTGTATGCTGCTAGTTGATTTCTTAGTTGTCTTTGTTTTATTATAATTTGGGAAGATGGAGGAGTAGTTGCTTGGCTTGCATGCAAAGTGACATTTCTAAGGTAAATGAGTCATTTTCTCTTTAGATACATTAGTGTGATAGCACTGATGCCAAGATTCTCTGGGAATAATTAATGTTGATCAGCAAACTGTCCATTATTTCCAGCTGTTAGTATGCTTTTTCAGTTTACCCACCAGATATCATTTGGATATATATTTAGCCTAGAAGTGTCAGACAGGGTTTGAGAGTTTCCTAATAGACTGGTTGAAGTCATTGACCCTACTTGTGTAAACTGTTTCAGCAATATTTGGGGTGGCACAGTGGCTCAGTGGTTAGCACTGCTGCCTCACAGCACTAGGGTTCTGGGTTCGATTCCAGCCTTGGGCGACTGTGTGGAGTTTGCACATTCTCCCCATTCTCCAGGTGCTCCGGTTTCCTCCCACAGTCCAAAGATGTGCAGGGTAGGTGGACTGGCCATGCTAAATTGCCCATTGTGCCCAGAGATGTTTAGGTTCAGTGTGTTAGACATGGGAAATGCAGGGTTAGGGGAATGGGTCTGGGAGGGATGCTCTTCAGAGGAGCGGTGTGGACTTGATGGACCGAATGGCCTGTTTCCACACCTTAGGGATTCTATGATTCTATCAATATTTAAACTCGCTGGGTAAAGCAGTACACAACACACGTTAATAAAACAGGCTATTCAATTACTTCCTTGGAGTTCTGCTGTCCAATTGGAAACCTGTAGAAATTCATGAGTTTTGTTTTCTCATGTGAAAGTGTTTCAGCAAGAATTAAAAGCATTTCAAGTATTGTTAAGAACTTGTGTTATATAGACTTTTGGATTTTTAAGATTTTCAAGGAAACGCTGATTGCACCGAATGCAATAAACAAGTGAAACCTGTGGAAGTTGCATTTTCTTCTATTTAATTTTGCTTAATGAGTATCATAGTTTCTAGCTTTATTAGTTAAGCTCATTTGAGCGCTTCTTGACTATCAACTTAAGAGTTTGTGTGTTTCTGTTGCATACCATTCGTGGTGTATACTTCAGCAAAATTGATGATTGCTTGAGTTGCAGCGTGCTACATAAAATTATCGTGTGTAAGAATATTCTTTGCCATCTCCATCTCTTTAGGAAGTAATGGTAGGATTATTTCAGTTTCGACACCTGAAACTAGGGCGTATTCATAACACTTTCTGTCCACTCATATTGCCTAAACATCTCAATTTTGTCTAAAGGCAGATTTATATAAAATTATTTTTTTTGTACACAGCTGATTTGTCTTACTTATTGCAGTTGCATGTGAAATTTTGAGGACACAGGCTTGCAATGAATTACATAGAATTTGTACCACAAAAACAAGCCATTTGACCCATAAGTACAATACTGGTACTTATGCTTCACACATATCCTCTTACCCTACCTCATTCTCATCCTCTCATCATTTGTTTCTATTCCTTCTTCCCTCATGCTCTTATGTAACTTATGCCTGAATTAGATTGGGAACGTCTCAGTAGTTTGCTAAATAAAGAAATATTGATTTTCACTCCCGGGATCCAACTTTTCTTTAAATTGTGTCAGAGTACAGCAGCCCAAATGCTTCCCAGGGAAAGAGCTCAAAGAGGCTCCTTTTAATACACTGTTTCTACATGGCTATGCAAAACAATTCAAAGAGCCCACATGTTCAAACAAATTTACCATGTAAGAAGGGTACATTTCCCCAGAGATAGTCATGTGCATCTCCTCTGTCAATGGGCTAGGTAGATATGTAGTGTTTAAACATAATCTGCCACTCTTTATGTCCTTCTGCTGTGTGTGGAAACTGGACACATATGTGGTAGCATGAGGGAAAGTTTGAGCTGAATCTTTTTTATTATACTGCCCATTTTACAATGACTTGTTAAACATTTAGCTAGTTAGCAAATAAACTGAAAAATACGTGTGTAGGACTCTGGACTGTTAGGCATTTGTTCATATTTTGCTGACCCACAGGGTGACCAACATAATACACAAGTAGAGATTGAAAAATTGCTGCTTTTGGTTTATTAACACAGAATCATTGAAAAATTCTTACCAAGACTGAATGCAACGGCAAGAATGAGTGTTTGTGAAAAAAGATTTGTTTTTCCACTAATTCTACAGTCAGAGTATAACTATAGTCCATATTCAAAGTGAGGGCCTGACCAAGACAGCAGGGCAAAGAAGGGACTGAAGCTCTCTCGAGGAGACTTCCACACTATGCTTGGATTTGGACTCACTTGATCTTTGACACATGTTTAGACTTGTGAATGCACTGAGTGACCACACATTTGTTGTTAAGTGCACAGTACACAGATGACGTACCTTTATTCAATCCTGATGATTTGTATAATAAATCTATAATACAAGAAGTTTTGTGCCTACCTGCTTTAGACTAATATTTGATGTTTTACAGATGGAACTGCAAATAAAGTTGGTTGCCTGTTTGTTTATTAATCTATGCTTATTTTATTTCAGCCTGATTCCTCATCTATAGCCTGAAATTTGAAACATCTGTTCATTAACAGTTAATATTACCAACAAATACAGATGCTGGAAATTAAATAAAACACAAAATACTGGAAACATTCTGCTGATGGAGCAGCATCTGTAGAATGAGAAACATTAAGGTTAGCTTAAACCTAACTTTTCAGGTTGATGATGTTTCGTCTAAAAAAATTGAACTCTGATTGACTTCAATTTAGAACAAAGTTCAAAAGTAAAAAAAAAAATGTTAGGCAGTCTTCCAAGACAGACAAAAGCTGCAAAGAAAATTTGTTTCAAATGTTTTTCTCTTTTGGTGCATTTGAGGTTTTTCTCCCCCTAGTATTCTTGCAAAAATGTACAAACACATGCTGTCTCTGGAAATTGTGTTTCAACAGCTTTCACAGGATTTTGAATTAAATTTCATTGTCTCACTTTTCTGGTCATTTCACTTTCTAGCAGATGACTGATTGTTATACCATGCAGTGGCAACTCAATCATGACTTCATGAAGAAGTATTTAGAGCTACTTGTATTCCAGGCCATAGCGCCAATATTCAGACAAACACACAATCTCACTAGAATATCAATAAAGAAAGCTATTAATCATCAGTTGGACTGAAAGCCTGGAGGTGTATGTAGACTTGGATAATGGCCAAAATTGTACACAGTCTAACTGAGAGAAAAACAGCCAGTGACAAAACCAAGAGTATTTATTAAAATTCATAAAGTAAGCGTAGTGTGGTAACCATAAAGAAAAGTAAAAGTATTTGAATGGTATATCACTATAGCTTAAAAAGTATCAAAATGGTATTTTCTCGATTCATAAATTACACAACACACAAGTTTATCTTAGACTGTCTTGAGTTTCTGCCGTTAATTGAAAAACAATGAATTTTTTTCATTTGTTATCTGTCAGCTTTGCAGAGACTTCATTCCACAGAATTCTGAACACCCTTTTGTACCATAATTCAACACATTCGCTATGTACATTTACTAGCATGAAGGCAATAAATTTTCAGTCATGTGGCTTGTTAAGAAGAATATTTAAAAGTGGGAGAATATTTGTTGTTTGTTACTGATTTCCCTTGCTATTTTAAAGAGAACAAAACCTCTTCCCTCATTTATTTAAATCAGGTATGCAAAAGAGAGCAGAGCAGTATAGGCCATGAAAAGTTGATAGACAGAACGTGTTGGGAGTCAGGAGAAGATAACAACCTGAACTAGAAAATAAATCCAGGCAGAGTATAATCGTGAGACCACTTAACAGAACAAAAGAAAATGACACCTTAATGGATATAAAGATGGTATGGATTTGAGAAGGGCTGAAGTGGTGTTTTTTCTAACTTCTTTTTTCTCCTGTCTGGACTTTCAAGGTCTGTAGGCAGTGGTAATGTATGAAAATCAATGTTGGGAACAGCGTCGCATGCCCTGCAGGGTCCCTTGAATGGAGGCAGTGCAGCTTAGTGAGAACATTAGCTGAAACAATATATCTAAAACCAATAGTATGTTCATGCTTTCGTCATCAAGCATACATTTGGATTTGTGCATGGGAAGCATAAGATTTGGTGAAGAGGAAGAGATTTGGAATTAGGTTGGTACAAAGGAAGACACTAACAAAAAAAATCAAAATGACATAGCAGGCTGTCCAAATAATCCGACGGTTTGCCACCAACCTTTTAATGCAGACAAGTGTGAGCTAT